GAGAATGGTTACTGATACAAAAGATTTGCAGAAATGAATTCCTAAATTGCAACAGCCTTGTGTATAATAGATGGGCTTAGTTAACAGGGGAATTAAGACTTTCTTTTCATTGGTGTGACAATAGGTCATCTCTGATGCCTTAATTTTTGTCACGTAAACTGTAAAATTGATTTATTTTGTAACCCTTCAGGATCTGTGCATTTCTCGTGCCTATGTCAGAGTACTAATTGGAAAATAGTATTTGTGCTGAGCAAACTCTTTCAATTATTTAATTTAAAATTAAAAATCCTAGTAAGGATATTTTTGGCTGTGTTACATGGGGGACATTTTAGTTCACTTGTCTTGAAGACACAATAGGATGAGAAAGGAAATTTCTTAAACACTGGGCATTCTACACACTCCCCAACAAAAACAGGGCATATGTAGCATGCCCTTTCCTGCCCTAATGCCGTTTCCCTCTCCCACGTTACACTTGCCAGCAATTACCAAGTAATTGGAGTTGCTATGCTAATTCAGCAGTTGTAATAACTGCTATTGTCATCTGTGTCTAAAATGCTATTCAGAGGCAAGATAGAGCAATGCAAAGTAACATTGTTACTTTTGTATCTACTCTGTTTTATTTATCTGCAGATCAAAGGGATGAATCTGAACTGATATGATGTCTGCAACCCAAAAAAAAAAATACTTGTCCCTATTTTACCCAATGTTAATCCTTAAATTGGGAATACAGGTTTAGAAAATTGACCGATCGGTCATCCGATGACTGAGAGGTGTTCGTTCATTGGTCGAAATCATGGCCCACATTAACCAATCTAAAAAAATCGTTCGTCGGGCAATATGTAGTGTTGACGTCTTCCGTACAAGTGGAAGTGATGCGGTGTGCGTATGACCTTGTAGCCACGCCCTTCCGGCAAGAACGAGCGATATTCACAACAATGACCAGCAATGAGTATAATAAGTTTATTACATGACCTATATACATAAATAGTGATACATAAAATATAATATGCAGAATTCTGGTTTCATTATCTCATTAGGCCAATCTACTTTTAACATTTGGATTTTTCATTTGTGTTTATGAAGATTCCTTGGACATAAACATCCGGTCATCTTCTGTTTCCGCTCATGCGTGATAGCGCTTGATAGATTTTTTTCGTACGACCATCACACCACCGCATAGAAAATCGGTAATTTGTATGCAAAATGACAACATTTTTCACTGTTGTTCAACCGGATTTTTTCATTCACAATATCGTTATCGGTTAAAACAGCCTGCTTATCAACGAAGAGAGAATCGTTCGATCAGTGGTTCCGCAAAATTTTTCAGATTTTCTTATCGTGTGTACGGGGCATTAGTTTACCCTAATCAGCCCTAATTAAATACTCTTTCCCCTTCTCCCCTTCTCTTTCACATGGGCGGTTCTGCTGCTTGTAAATGCATGTTTTTTCATTTTGAAATGTCACTCCTAGCATAGAGATCACTTACGTTTGTGCATTGTGTTTATATGTGATTACGTGCATTTACATGCGGCTGCGTTTAGCTGTGCTAGTAAATTCTTGCCTTTTCTATAGCAACTGTTTACTTATTTTTTCTTTGTACTGCGATTAACTGCGTTTATGTACAGATAGCTGCGGTACATCACTCCTGGACATTGTCAACTTTACTCTTCCTAAACGCATAGAATAGTATGTTATGAAAACGTTGCTAAATGCAGTGTGAATGGAGCCATATGGATGCATTGTCTGCATTTAGCTGTGGTAAATAAGTTCCTCTAAAAGCTGAAATCTAACCGCCCTTGTGAAAGGGGCCTTTTGGTAATTTTCTGCTGATTTTTTTAAATCTTTTTTTCATTTGTATCTGTTTTTGTTTTTTTAGTGTTGTTTTAATTGAATAAAAAAACAAAAACTTTTATTTGTAATTATGTAAATAACATTGCAAGCTTTGTACCAGATTCATAACTTTAATGTTATTTTAACCTCTTCGCGCCGGCGCTTCCTGGTCCTTTAAAAGTTTCAGAAGCTGGGAGGTGGGGCAGGGTTTTAGGGTCATGTGACCGCCGTGATTCGCTGTCACGGCAGTCACATGATCGGAAAAGGTCCCAATCGAAAGGGGAGATCGGGACCTTTCCACGAGTCACTGGCATATGTGCTGGGAGCGCGCAGAGCGCACTCCCACATCACGTATGTATTTTCTAATTGCACGCAAATATGCGGCTGCTTGGCGTCAAGGCCCAGACGCCAAGAGGCCGCATATTTGCGTGCACTTGGTGTCAAGGGGTTAAATGAGACAAACCCAAAATGTTGAATTTTTGCTTTGATTTCAGTCCACACAATAATATAAGTAAGCATACTATACAAACATATATTACAGTAAAAGCGTTCCTACAACTCTTGATGCTTGTTGAAAAGAATATTTATACTGTATATCTAATAGTTTCTAATATTATTTTACTTGTTGATCCAACTGCAATAATTCTTAAACTTAATTTGTCTGTATATGTACAGTTGTTAAAATGCTCAATAAATTGTATTCTTTAAAAAAAAAAAATAATATTAAATTAAAAAATAAATAAATAAAAAAAAAAAAAAAAAAAAAAAAAAAATAAAAAAATAAAAAAAAAATATATATATATATATATATATATTATATAGACAAGGGGTGCTGGGATGTGCTGGAAAGGTCTATTGATGTTGGCTGCTGGGGGATCTATTTTTTCATGGAGGTCTATTTTTGCTGGTAGGGTAGTTCAGAGGAGTATTTACCACAAGGCATTTGCCTAGGGTGGCATTTTTCAGGGGGGCAGCACCTCCCCACAGGAAGAAAGGATGAAAGAAGGTACACGTGCATCATGGGAACCAGGTTGGATCTGAGAGAGGCTGCGGGCTGCTTGATGGTATATGCAGAACCTGACTCTCGTTCCCAGGGATATCTGGAGGTGTATAGATGATTGTCTCTCTATCACGGGGGGGGGGGGGAGGGGGGGGGGGGGTTTGTAGGGTGTTGGAAGGCTTTCCTGGGTGGGGGGCAGGGGTGTTGATGGTCAATGTTAAGCTCTCTCTGCGGGAGGGGGAAGGGGGGTGTTGGCCTCTGTCTGTGGGGGCAGACGTTTTTGTGTTGCCTAGGGCAGCACAAAACCTAAATACATCACTGGAGCGTCTATTGCTGCTGGCTACAGGGCATCTATTTTATTGCTTTTCATGTTATCATTAACAGATTCCATACAAATTTCGTAGCATCATAAAATGATACCTGATTATGTATTCTCCAAAAGGAGAGGTACAGGGAGGTGGGTGAAGGGTGGAACCAAGGGACAGTGCTCAGAGGTGGCTGGGGGGGAAGAGACAAGAAGTGACTCAGAAGGTTGGGTCCTTGCACCTATTTTTTGAGAAAAAAAGCCCTATATATATATATATATATATTTTTTTTTTTTTTTTTTTTTTTTTTTTTCCTCAGGGGGTAAGCAGAAGCTGGAAAACATGGGAAAGGGAGGCGAGAGCTCCACTTACTGGCTGAATATGAAAATAGAAATATTATTACCCACTTGACCTCCAGAAGATTTACCCCCTTCATGACCAGGCCATTTTTTGCGATATGGCACTACATTATTTTAACTGAAAATTGCGCAGTCATGCAATGCTGTACATAGATAAAAATTTATGTAATTGTGTTCCCCACATATAGAGCTTTCTTTTAGTGGTATTTGATCAGCTCTGGGTTTTTTTTTTATTTTTTTTTTGCGCTATAAATGAAAAATCACCAACATTTAAAAATAAAAACAGTATTTTTTTTTACTTTCTGCTATAAAACATATCCAATAGAAATCTAAAAAAAATATAGTTTCATAAATTTAGGCCAAAATGTATTCTTCAACATATTTTTGGTAAAAAAAATCCCAGTAAGCATATATTGATTGGTTTGCGCAAAAGTTATAGCATCTACAAATGGTGGTATATATAATGGAATTTGTTTTGTAATTAATGGAGGTGATCAGCGACTTATAGCAGGACTGCGATATTGCGGTGGTCTGACACTGACAGTGATCAGTGCTAAAAATATACACCAAAAATTATATATAAATTTATGCTGCACATAAATCACAACCCCTTGATGAAGCCACGTGACCAGCGACGTAACACGTAGGGGAGGGGCTACGACGTCACTGGCCATTCGAGGACGACAGGTTTACACAAGGCATGCGTTGTTTGGCGTGCTGAAGACGATACATTGTAACTATATAAGCAGTTTTTAACCTTTTTACATGTGAGTGCATTTTGGTACCTTATTAAAGAGTTTTTTTTTTTTTTTAAAAAGGATAAAGCACTATCTTTGGAATTTTTCTTTTCACTGAGGGCATATGCAAAGAATATAGCAGGGGAGAAGCAACAGGAGAGAAAGATCCCAGCAGGGATAGGAGACGGGGAGCCAGCTGAGAGGGATTCACCATTCCTCATATGGTGCAACATTTATCACTAATAGTTCCTTTAAAGTGAACAAAAGCGCTACTAGCCTAATATAGGCTATTCTGGAGGTGAGTGTACATCCTAATCTCACTAAGGAAGTCACTTGGAATCATTTATCAATTCAAATCACTGGGAATTTTCACGTTTTTTTTCACAGAGACTTTGTATCTGTATATGTTAAGCACTAGAAGTCACATTTACATTTGTTTTAATCATTTATTCACAGAGATTTATTATTGGTATCTTTGTATCACTGGATGTCACATTTTAGTATTTTATCACATTTGATTGTTTATAGTTTATATCACGGTTTATTGGATATATGAATTATCACTTTATTAAATGAAATATTTTTAGATGGTTTCACAGAGAGGAGGAGCGCAGCATAAATTTATATATAATTTTTGGAATTTATTACACATAAAAAGAGGATGTGTTGTATGTTAGCGCACTCTTAAAAATTACAGTAGGTGGCTCACAAGTTACACCCTTGTTTTTTATAAAAATATACACCATCACCAGGGGCGGACTGACAACTCATGGGGCCCCCGGGCAATAGGGGATCATGGGGCCCCTGTGTCCTTGCCCAAACTCAAGAAAGCCTATGAAAAAGGTACCAGGGGCACCTCATAGGGCCCCCTACTGACCCCGGGCCCTCGGGCAGCGCCCGAGTTTCCAAAAAAATGGTCAGTCCGCCCCTGACCATCACTGTATTAAAGAAACTGACTGGGAAGGGGGTTAAACATCTAGGGCGAGCAAAGGATTAATTGTGTGCTTCTGTGTACTGCGTGTGCAGTTTTTACTAGGCAAGCTGCTAGATTTTATTCCCTAAATAAAACCTAGTAGATCGCCTTGGACATAACACAGCTCTGCCTTGTTCACATAGGCAGAGCTGTGTTATGTCCGTCTGCTCAGCGATCAACAGGTGTAGGCGCTCATCCATCCAGCAGATGCGGTGCGCTCCGGTACCAGGTGGGCGCCCCCCAGTGGCGGAAGTGCAAAATCACATTTATATATGTGATTTTGCACAGAACTTCTGACCTGTAGCAGTAAATCTGCTATAGCACAGACAGTTAAGCAAAGTTTTTTTATTTACAGAAACAAAAAAAAAACAAAGACAAATTTAATTTTTAGTCCTAAGCAAAAACAAATAAATGAAATATGTATAAAATCATTGAACATTTCCTTTAAAATATCTGTACATCACATTCAAAGCTATTTTTTCTTAGTTCTGTTACTTAGAAATATTCATTTTAAAGCCATCCTCCCTACATGCTTACCTCCCAGTGAGGTCTCAAACAAATTATGCACTTTCTATATTTTTTTTTTCTCAGGGGATACTAATTAAGGTGGCTGAGTCTATGCACCGAAATACAGATCTATCATTTAATGCCTAATAAATCGACACATAAAATTAAACAAACTATATATATATATATATATATATATATATATATATATATATATATCAGGGGCGGACTGACCATTTAGGCATTTGGGCACTGTCCGAAGGCCCGGGGTCAGTAGGGGGCCCCATGAGATTCCCCTGGTACTTTTCATAGTCTTTTTTGAGTGTGGGCGAGGAAACAGGGGCCCCATGATTCCCTACTGCCCGAAGGCCCCATGTTTTGTCAGTCCGCTCCTGATATATATATATATATATATAAGCAGACCCAAGCAAGGTTAGATAAAAGCATTTAGTGTGTGTGTCCCCCTTCTTGCGTAAAATCTGTGTGAGTGGGGGGAGGAAGTTAGTTAAACCAGAACTGCGGGCAAAAACTTCTTTACATGTACTTGTTTCTGATTTCCTACCTTCACTAAATATATAGTTGCTCTGAAATTGCCTATTCATTTTCAAATCAAACTGTTAATTTTGGCTGCCTGTTTGTAAGACCGGTGGCTGCTATGCCTGCTATTCCCCTAGCTTACTAGTCTTGGCTCATCCCTTCTGTACTTCTTTCTCCAGGAAAGAGATGTAATTCAGCCCCACAACTCTCAGTCAGACACATTCAACATGTGCAAGTCTAGTATACCCGCCCTCGTTCACTACAATTCCCTGTGGTTGATGGGAACTGCAGTTTCCTTTTGCTGCAGAGAGAGAAGATGGGATATGATGTAATCCCGGCTGTTACACCTCCTCCTTGGCAGAGCAGATGCTGTTATCTTTTGAATCTTTTGATCATGAAAATTCAATGAGACTTTTCTCTGTAAATGGTAAAGATTTTCAAAATTGTATTAACTGTTTACTGTTTTGTGTGGGGGGTGTACCAATGGGTAATTGTTTTAGCCTATTCTTTTTTAACATACTTACCTTTTCACTGGCTTCTATACCATGAAGTTAACATCCTGCTTGTAAAATCTTATGAACCACAGTGCAGGAATATCGTCACATGGGGTGAAACATTCACAAGATCTTGCCAGAAGAGACATCACCCTTTTCTAGGCATCATGCCCAGGGGCCATAGGAAAGCTGAGTATGCTACCTACCTTTTTTTTTCTCCCACAGGTTTTTTTTCATTGCTTTAGCAAGGGGAATGGGGTACAAATTAAACAAGCAAACCTTACTTTTTTAGTGCCCAATTTATTGGAAACATTGAAATATGGAGTAGCCAGCAAATAAAAAAGGTGAAAATAAGAAATTTCTTTCAGGTAAACATTACAATAATATGTCCAAATATGCACTCCCTGAAAATACACACCTAAATCCATTTACAATACCAGAAATTATGAACAGTTCATTTATACCAGTAAACGGAGATACCATTATTGTACCTCTGTCTGCTTTTTGTCACCTCATTATCATCTTGGCCTATTAGCTCACACCTGGAGTCTTCCCATTGTGTGTCCCACTGCTGGGAGATTCAGAACATTTGCAATTCTAAACAGCGTATCCCTGATACGCCAAAGCACACATTTTCCTCCATGAGTTCCCTCTTACCTATGCTTTCTTCTTTGTGCTCTGCACAGAATACTGTATTGTGTGAAATGTTTTGGTGGAATAATGGAAACGCATTACTTATTTATAGGCTGTCGTGTAAGATGGTATAGTTTGTTTCATAGCATTGAGGTTTAACATAGAATGCACAGCTGGAATCATTTCTTTATTTTCTTTCAGTTGTTAAAGCAATGGTTATTTTGAAGTAATTCTTCGTTTGCAGAGGGAAGGTGTTTAACCTTTGTCAGATGAATTATGTTGGAAATGTGTTAACCAACTTCAAGACTTATTATTCTAGATTAAAAGGAAACCTCTAGGAGAATAAAGGTTAAATATCCAAAGCGAAAAACTGGAAGAAAAATAACTAATGGTCTTGAAAGCTTTTTTGCCCTTTTGCAGGAAATGAGGCTAGGATTAACTGCTAATTCAGAGGCCCATGACAAAATTGTGTAGGCCCATGTCACACTTGAGATCCCATCAATTGAAATAACTGGGTAGTGAAAGGATCACTAGAATATGCAGGTAGAACACTAATTTGCTTGAATATGTTGCCCACCAGGGAATAGGATTGTAAAAGGCCTTGGGAATACTTGAATTCCCAGTAAAAACAGAACCTAAGCCCACTCACTTCATGACACTGCTGCACTGCTGGATGGTAGGTGGTAAAGTGCCCCTTGGTTTGGTGGTGAAGTGCACCCAACAGTGGTGTGAAGTGTCCAATGTTGGAGCTAAATAGAACATTGGTGCCAGGTGTTACTTATCTGGGAGAATACAGACTCTTTACCTGTGCCACCTGCTCTAGCTCTTCTAAGTGACATCAGGACTAGAACTATGTAGGCAGGGCTGGGACAATGGGTGGGCAGGAGGGGAAGCTGCCCTGGGTGCAGTGGGAGGGGCTGGCTGTCCCTTCACCACATACTCCACGACAGTGACTAGCATCCAGTGTGCCACAACTTGATGCTTCACACTATGCATAAGCAATGTCCTTCTAGCTGCTAAAAAGCATGCCGTTGACCATGCCCGTGCAACGCACACTTCATGTCAATCATGGGCAGCTGGTACAAGGGGGCAGAGAATGGGTACAGAGTGGTTTACCTATTCTATGGCATGCATTAGCAACAACGGGTGGGGGCACAGTTCCACATCCTTGCCCAGGGCACTGGATGATTACAGGCACCTGGGTGTTGCTAGGCCTGTGGTAGCCAACAGTACACTTGGGACACATGCACCAGGTGCCAGAGCTCAATGATGCCCATGCTGTTCCTTTATCAACTTTGGCAGTAAGTAGCCTGTGAGTAAGTAGCCTCGCTCATTTAGCTGGTGGGGGAATGACATAGGCCTTGTTGTGTCCTCCATAGCTACCACTAGTTTGACATTGGCCCTCCTGTGATATAACGCCCAAGGTTTTGAGCATTGTGTGATATGCTTCCCCCTACTCCCCAATCCTATCAGCACCTCTGACAGTTGTCAGCAGTGGTATCCGAACAATAGGATTATTAATTGATTTTTGTGAGTTGGTTTATTGTGATGAGCAGGAGAGGATTATGGTTTCCTCCCAACACTTCAATGACTCTCTGCAAGACAGGTGGCGAAAGAGACGGGGATGACCTGGAAGTGACATCATACATGTCACTTCCCAGGTCAAGGGAGGAAAGCGGATGTGGGGGGCACCATTTCTGGGGGCTGTAGAAGCAATCGGGCAGAACTGCAGCCACCTGACCAATTCCACCTGACAGACAATCCCGATGGCTGCAGCCTTCAGATTGTGTGTAAAACCCCCTGTTGTTAGGTCCAGTAGAGAACAGGCCTAAGGGTATCATACCCTATATATTTATTCATTTCTATGTGTGTTCACATACAGGTGAAACTCAAAAAAGTAGAATATCGTGCAAAAGTTCATTTATTTCAGTAATGCAACTTAAAAGGTGAAACTAATATATGAGATAGACTCATTGCATGCAAAGCAAGATAGTTCAAGCCGCGATTTGTCATAATTGTGATGATTATGGCTTACAGCTCATGAAAACCCCAAATCCACAATCTCAGAAAATTAGAATATTGTGAAAAGGTGCAATATTCTCGGCTTAAAATGTCCCACTCTAATCAGATAATTAAGCTATAATACCTGCAAAGGGTTCCTGAGCCTTTAGATGGTCTCTCAGTCTGGTTCAGTAGGAATCACAATCATGGGAAAGACTGCTGACCTGACAGTTGTGCAGAAAACCATCATTGACACCCTCCATAAGGAGAGAAAGCCTCAAAAGGTAATTGCAAAAGAAGTTGGATGTTCCCAAAGTGCTGTATTAAAGCACATTAATAAAAAATTATGTGGAAGGGAAAAGTGTGGAAGAAAAAGGTGCACAAGCAGCAGGGATGACCGCAGCCTCTGGAGAGGATTGTCAGGAAAAGGCCATTCAAAAGTGTTGGGGACTTTCACAAGGAGTGGACTGAGGCTGGAGTCAGTGCATCAAGAGCCACCACACACAGACGGATCCTGGACATGGGCTTCAAATGTTGTATTCCTCTTGTCAAGCCGCACCTGAACAACAAACAACGTCAGAAGCATCTGGGCTAAAGAAAAACAGACCTGGTCTGTTGCTCAGTGGTTCAAAGTCCTCTTTTCTGATGAGAGCAACTTTTGCATCTCATTTGGAAACCAAGGACCCAGAGTATGGAGG